CACTACTAGAAAAAAGGCCTTTAATGACGTGCAATTTATGACGCGCACGAATTTACAATACGCAAAAGCGTGTGACGTCAAAATAACGTCATCTCTACAAAATTTTGAAGGGTTTTGGACGCGCATTTTTACGTGCCCTAAAATTTATGTCAGAAAAAAATAAAAATAAAAACACGGAGGGCCACCCATCATAAAAGGCGTGTCGTGTATGTATGTCGCTTTATAATTCTTGAATGCGCCTCCAGACTATTTATTTTATCAAAAAAATCAAAGGGATCATTCTAGGGTTCTTTTAAAGATGGGAGTGCTCTCTACAACGTTCTCTACCTTGGCTCACCTCATCTACCAACAATCTCGACTCATCTCTTTTCGCCGGCAAGCTTGGGCTAACCTTACCTCGACGGAGACCGCCACAGATGCTCAAGTTTACAAGCCCTAGGTCAGGTTTAACGAACATCAGATCTTCTTTGTGATCTGTCTCGCACAACAAGCCTCCTTGTGTTGATCAGAAGTCACAGGGCTTGATTCCGAGAGTTCAATGACCATTAGATCTTATTTCACCCCTCTCTCCGTGCATTCTGTAAATTCCTCTCTAAATCCTCTCTTTGATGTCATATCTCTATCTAGCCGAGAGAACAAAGGAGAAACATAACTGATTTTTTTTGGTTGCCCCTTATCGGAAAACACACACAAACACACCTTTTCTGTGTGCTTTCTCTTTCCTCATTCCTAAGCCCTAACTTCGACTCGGAATCCTACATCTCCAATCTACGAACCTTTGTCCCCTTTGAAACCCTAAGATCAGACCGTCTTCTCAAATTAGGGCTTGTGGTATCGATTCAAAACATGTATCCCACCGCATCCATCATCCATCAAAACATCTATATCCCAAAACGATTGTTTCTTCTTCAAAACCCATTGAACGAGCGTGCGTATGAAAAGTTAGAGAAAAACATATGGCATGCAGAAGGTGAAGCATATTCATCCAGTGGATCGTGATTTTTGGTCAAGATAACTCCATTTTCCTATTATAGGTCAACTGCAATCCATTATATGTCCTTCGCCTCTTCCCTTGTTCCCCCAATTCCTTCCCTATGCCACCTTCCTCTCTCTTCTTCCAGCGATACCCCAATTCCTTCATCAGACTCATCTCCGCTGCTTCACCAAGCGCCTCTCTATTGCACTGATCTTATTGTTTTCTTAGAGTTGGCAATTTGAAGTGTATAAGGTATTTGATTGAACGTTTGACTCTTTCTGTTCCCCTGATTCAGATTATTCTAGCCCTAATTCGTTTTTTTTCATAGCCCTAATTGCATTTTTTACATTCTTTTGCCTATATCAGCTAAACACTTAACCATGTTTCATAAGATACTTAAACACAACTGTGTTACCATATATTTTTACAATTTGTAATGTTGTGCTTGTGGTGTGATAGTAAACCATCAATTTTTGTTAATATGAAAAAAAAAATCAAAGTTTGAAATGCCCTTGACTGTGCAAATTTGTTTATATACAATCTGGTCTTGTAAACTTAGAGTTGGCTTGCACGTGGTTCATAAAATAGAGTACCTAATCTTTTTGAAGATTTCTTATGATATCTAAATTGCATGAAACTTTTCAAAAGAAAATTAAACTGAATAATTAGTTGATATTTGCATTTAAGTATAATAACTTAAATTTTCTATTAATTGATGCTGATCAACTTTTTGTATTGAAGCAGATCTTGAAGTGCTTATAATATTGTTTGGCATCTATCTTTTAATATGCCATGTAGGAAATAAAAGCTTATTGGTAAAGGGATGCTTCATCCCTACTTGTTGCTATTGGTTCTCATTTACCAGACCTTGTAAGTAAATAGAAACAGCCAAAAAGAATATCATCATTCTTTCACATCTATCTTTGTTCCAAAATGTATGCACAAAACTCAACTCTTCAAGAAACTCAGCAGAAAGAGGCATCCATTAAAATAATGGTTGACGACCCTGTAAAATCAGAGCACACTCGGTGGAATGCAAAGGTATATATTTTCTCTCCTAGATTTCTGACTTGAATTTGAGATTAAAATTTGTAATTTCTTTTGCTTATTTGATTCAGATTATATTAATGAGTGGACTCAGTCAAAATGCTTTGATTCAGATTTTATTAATGACTTGAATTCCCCATTTTTGCTTCTCTTAAAAATGGGAATACTTTCAAGGCAATTGGAGGCTTGTGGGAAACCACAGATGGCAATGATCCTTCAGTTGACAAATCCACTCTTGTTCACACTGCTCTTAGGTTTGTTTTTGCATGATAACTTGTATATTCCCTCCCCCCCCCCCCCCCCTTTACAGATTTCTAGTTTATTGATTTATATTGTGTAGGTATGCCAAAGACCTCACAGGACTTGATTTTAAAAATTGCCAACATTGGAATCCTTTCCTCGAGGTAATCCGTTATTGTTTCGAGAGTTTATCTAATTAATTAATTAGATTTTCTTGTTATCTAATCATTTGATTATGTCCATTTTTGCAGATTCATTATGACCGAGTTAAAAAAGATGGAATATTTAGCCATAAGGAGGTCACAGTACTCTATGTTCCTGATTTATCAGATTGTTTACCTTCAACATATGCATGGAGGGATCAATGGCTTTCACACAAGAAAGCTATTGTTGAGAGAGAGCATCGATATGCTCTTAAAAGAGAGGTATACTGTTACTGCTTCATATTTTACATATATATTATATATATATATATATATATATATATATATATATATATATATATATATATATATATATAAATCGATTAGAAAAAAGGACAGATGAAACTAACATATTGAAACTAAAAGTTTTTTCTTCCATCATATGTTTTGGTTTATATAGATAGCTCGAGGAAAGAAGGAAGGATTGAAAGGTAACTAACTTATTGATATTATCATACCTGAAAGTTATTTATTTTTATAAAAATGTTGTAAGTTTACCTTTTATAACTCTGTTGATTCTGCTTAGATAAGGAACCTGGGACACCCAAAGATCTGAAGAAGGATGCAAAATTAGAAAAAGAGAAAGTGCCTGAATCTGATGAGTCAGCATCAAAACTAAAAGAAATGGAAAAAGATAAAGTCAAAGAACCTGCAAAACGTAGGAGTTCATATTAATGCAGTAGATATAGAGAAGACAAATGTGGTTGAGACACCTGGCGAAGGGAATAACTCTGTAGAAAAGAAAACTGGTAGTGGAAAAAAGAAAATTATCAGAAAAGTTATAAAAAAGAAGGTTGTTAAAAAAGATAAAGCAGGAGACACAACCAAACAAACTGATACATTATTAGATTCCAAGAATGTGGGAGAGACTTCTACAGAGACAGAGACTGCAGGTCAAAGTCAAAGTCAAAGTTAAGGTCAAGGTCAAGAGTCAACTGGTAATACTCCTACTGTGAAAACTCTTACAAAAAAGAAAGTTATAAAAAAGGTTCATGTGGTGAAATCTGTTAAGAAAGAAGATGTAAGGACACAATCTGAAGTGACACATGTCAAAGAGAAAGAGAGTTCTGAAATCAAGCCAAAGAGTGCAGATACAGAAAGTCTTACAAGTGTGAAAAAAACTGTAAAAAAGAAAATAATAAAAAGGGTTGTGAAAAAAAAGGTTGTTGCTAAAGATAAAGTGGTAGATAAATCAAAAGTAACTATTGCGGAGGAACAAAGTGTTGCCCCTGAGCAGAAAAAAGATGAAAAGAAAGGTAAAATGGGTTCCAAAACGAAGGGTATTATTGTCCAGTCTGACAGTAATGAAAAATTGGAAACTGAGGAGAAGTTAAAGGAGGAGAAAGTGAAACAAGAGAAGGATGTTAAAGGTGAAACAAAGGGTAAAGAAGTAAAAGATAGTAAAAAGGATGAAGAGGTTCCTAGACACCCTGGGTTGTTTCTCTAAACAAAAGGGTGACAATCCCTTCATAATGTTTTAGCAGCTAGGTCAAAATTGTTTATTATATCTAAAAAGACCTAGTAAATCCTTTGTAAGTTGCAGATTTTCGATCATATTCATACCCACTACTCTTTCATCATTTCTTTCAAATTCCCACCTTACAATTACGATTTTTAGTGAAAAAATACATGTCTTTGAAAGCTTTTATGGGTACTTCGGTTTGATTTGTACAAGAGCTTTCTCTAATTCTGGTGATTTGCAGTTGTACACCAACTATTTGTTTAAATGTCTACACACCGATTGAAATCATGCTTCATTTATCTGAATTATTCTTGTTGCATGGTTTGTTAGTCAGGTTACCACACTTTCTAATGTTGAAGAAAAAAAGAGATTTGAATTTCTGGAAGCAGTGAGCGGTATGATGGATGCCCATCTTCGTTACCTCAAACGGGTAGACAATTCAATTCGATGGCAGCAGTGTGTGTTTGTGGAGCTTTCTAAAATCTAAATCTGAATTATTCTTGTTGTAGGGATATGAGCTTTTGCATCAGATGGAGTCGTATATAAATCAGGTTTGGTATTTATTTTAGTTTAGAGATTAGACATACAGAAAAGAAAAGAAGAATGCATGTTGTGTTTTATTTTAATTTTAATATAAAAAAACTGGGCAGGTGTTGACATATGGTCAACAATCTCAAGAGAGATCAAATTATGAGCAAGCAACTCTGAACGAAAGAATGCAAGAGTACAAAAGACAAATTGATCGGGAGAGCAGGTGATCATGCAGTCTGCTTCAAAGGGAAAGGTTCAAACCATTCGCCAAGGATATCTTTCCAAGCGCTCCTCAAACCATCTGTAACTCAACTTCCTTTACTTTACTTTAGTCTTTACTTATTATTTTCGACAACAGGGCTCTGGCAGTCAAATATCTAGTCAGAGGAATAGCTCTGAACTCGGTCATGGCCTGCTGAGTCGTTGGCTTTCTTCTCATCATCACCATGGTGGAGGCGGAGTACATGATGAGAAATTTGTTGCTCATCACACTGTTAACCTCTTGACTTCAAATTTGAAGCAGACATGAACTACATTTACATGCAAGATTTCTGTAATTCTTCTCTAACCCTTGCTAAGGCAATGCTGTTGCAAGACCCGGGCCCAGGGGGTAGTGATTCAATCTCAATCTCATCAATGGCAGCCGTAGCAGGCACCAGTGAAGTGAAAGGACTTGGCATGGAGGAATTCCATGGGTACACCCTCCTCCATCTTGCTTGTGAAACTGCAGATATTTGGATGATTGAGCTGCTCTTACAGTATGGTGTAGCTGTGCTTTCTGGAAATAGAAACTTTGAATTGCGTGTTCACCCACTAACAAGAGCCAATTACTTGGCTTCACCTCCCTTGGTTGTAGCTTACGCACTTGTCGGCACGGTATGTGTAAAATTACTCTTCTACCCTCAAAGAAACACACAACACAAATTCATATCATGTTTTGCATGTTGTGAGTTTTAGGTCGAAATCGACTTCGAAAACGAACCAACGGGAGCACAAAGGACGTAAAGAATGCCTACTTTAGAGACGTTTTGCCAAGCACCGAAGAAATCGCACATGTATATATATATATATATATATATATATATATATATATATATATATATATATATATATATATATATATATATATATAAGCTTACAAACTGTAGAATGTGTTTAGTAGTGAATCTCATAGGCACAAAATGGTAAATTTGCAGGTGGTTCAATCAGTGTCATTTATTAATATTTGGAATTACAGCCTCTCTATGTTTGACTAAAACCTTCTGATTTTGTTGACTTTTTAACTTTGTTTTTGGTTTCATTTAGTAATAAAGTATCAAATATCAACAGTTATGTGGTAGTAATACTTCTGAGGGGGTGTTTGCTGGGCTGCTTCTTTCAATGTCATTAACAACAGTGGTAAGTAAAATCTTACTATTATGAAACTCTTTTGCTTAAACCTACCTTATTGACTTGTAGGTGATTACACATTAATTTAATTATGCAGGTTTTGAAGTTTTTGATTGAAAAGAATAGTGTTAATGCTCTTCATAGAAAAGTATCACATCCAATTGGGAAGTAAATATAAGCATATCTTGCGGGGGTAAAATGGTAATTTGTGTAATTTTATAACCAAACACAAATTACCAGGCAAATACATAAGAACAGGAGAATCTTTTAGAGGCCTGTTACAGGCAACAGGGCAAAACATTGTTGAGATCATGTCTGGAGATGATCATCTCCAAACATGATCTCAACATGGTTTTGCCCTGTTGCCTGTAATAGGCCTCTAAAAGATTCTCCCGTTCTTATGTATTTGCCTGGTAATTTGTGTTTGGTTATAAAATTACACAAATTACCATTTTACCCCCGCAAGATATGCTTATATTTACTTCCCAATTGGATGTGATACTTTGTGTAGGTTTGGAAGGAACTGGAACTGGCCTTGTTGTACATGAGAAAACTCTTGGAAAGTGAGTTGAATTTGGCTAAGTAATTATTGAGTGAGATGGGCCAATGTACAACTGCTTATCCATATAATCAGCTGTTTGGAGCATTAGTCTTAAAAAATTATGAAAGGCAAGATGAAACTTAGTTGGAATTTGATGTACATAGTAGATTAGATGCAAATTTATATATTGTAAGAAATACAATTGTATAACATTAAATTTATGCAATGGATTCTATTTTTTGTATATCATATTTTATTTTCTATTATGAAACATTAAATACAAATTTAATTTGAAAATAAGTAAATCTATAAATAATATTTTTTTAAACATTTAAAATTATGATACGCAAAAATGTGTGTCATCTTCATTTATGACATGGCCTTTCTTGACAGGGGCTTTCTTGATACGCATTGCGTGTCATTAACACGCGCGTCGTAAGGTTACGACAAGCGAATGCGTGTCGTCTTCCTTTATGACAGGGCCTTCCTTGATACGCATTGCGTGTCGTAAACGCGCGTCGTAATTGCGCATCGTAAATGAGCGTCGTCTCTCTTTATGAAAGGGCCTTCCTTGACGCGCATTTGCGCGTCGTCTGAGCCTTTTACGACGCGCAATGAGCGTCGTAAAAGGCTGTTTTTCTAGTAGTGATTTGAAATTAAGAAAAGGGATGTCGTAATCTAATCATAAATTCATTTAAGGTAGGTCATTCAATTTACCAATTTCAATATATATAAAATTCATAGATTATTTGAGGTTCATTGAATCTTATCAATGGCATGTTTAATCTCAGATTATGCTCTTTAATTTGCGACTGGGATACCGAGGATCACAAATAAGATGTGAATAACCATGCAAACCCGCTTTATAACCTAGACATTTTTATCATATCAAATTGATGTGTCGGTAGACCACACACGCTCCATCAGTTAATGATAATTTTTGAGTTGTATCATCATAACAACTTTATAGTCCCAAATTAGGGTGATGGTTAACCAAAAACACTCAACTAATGACTCATAAAAATTGATGTGCGTTTTCATGGATTAGCATGCATTTTCACAATTTCCTAAAGTAACTAGAGTGAAATTTTAAAAAGGTTCTAGTACTTTATAGCATTATAAGTTTAATGAGTTTATGTCCTATCGAACCCATTTTACTAACGACCCTCCACCATACAGGAGAGCGGTGGGTGAAAAGGACACCAATTTAACGGTCAATTTTATATGCCGTTTCCTTATACCATATTTATAACATGGCTTAGTAATTGAGACATACTAACTGAAACAACCCTAAAAATACAATCCAAAAATTTTTGTTTTAAACATTACTAAAACCATGAAGTTAATCATCATATAATAAAACCATGAATTACATGTCTCAAATGTAAAAGTGAATGTATCAAATCAACTGATGTCAAAACATATCAAAACATCCGAATAAAAACTCCCAAGATAAATTGAAGCTATGGTGTATGCCATGCCATCATCCCGAGCTCTTCCATTTACTTGCGGAAGTACCTGAAACCAAAAACTGAAACTGTAAGCACAAAGCTTAGTGAGTTCCCCCAATCTACCACATACCATGCAATAACATATAAAGCATACTGGGCCTTGCCCACTTCATCGGACCGAAGTCCAGAAACTACATCGGACCGAAGTCCGGAACTAACCAGGGCCTTGCCCTCTACATCAAACCAAAATATGGAAACTACATCGGACCGAAGTCTGGAACTAACCAGGGCCTTGCCCTTTGCATCAAACCGAAGTCTGAAAACTAACTGAACATAGCATGACATAACATAACTACTAGCATAAACACAAATAAGGCATACTGCATCGGATCGAAGTCCAGAACATATAATACAAGACATGCTTGAATCACAAAGACATCAAACACACTAAGCTACTGCATCGGACCTAAGTCCGAAACTGCTGCTAACTATACGAGTCGTCATTGTGGTCGTAGACCCATTCCTACTGAAAGAAAAACTCACCTAGTAACGCTAGCTGTTGAGATGCTAAATCTGAAACTGGCTGACTGCTGCTCCGGAACTCCCCGGTTACAAATTCCACAGATACTAAATCAAATACGGATAACTGTTCTCAGGGTAAAATAACTAATTTACCCGTGGTCAAAGTCAACCTCCTGGTCAAAGTCAACTTTCAGTTGACCGGACTCGTTGAGTTGGGCCGTCAACTCGCCGAGTCCCTAACACCTTTTCTAATCCTCTACTCGTTTCACCTCGTGGAGTTTGGCAACAACTTGACGATTTCTTCTTTCGAGTTAACTTCGAATCTAACTTTATCCGACTCGCCGAGTTGTATGAACAACTCGTCGAGTTCTCCTTCATCATATGAACACGTCCAGACTGTGACTCGCCGAGTTGTATAAATAACTCGTCGAGTCTGTTCTTGAGGCAAGAAAATTGCCTTGGACTCGTCGAGTCACGGCGTGGACTCGCGGAGTCTCCTGCATGCCACTACTATACAATCGCTTCTAGTTGGTCTCAATGCGTCCAATTCATAGATCTTGGCTTATAGGGATGGTTTTGAAAGTAAAGTTTCCAACTTTACGTGCATGCACACGAGAATGGGGCTAAAACACCAAAATCATCCAACACTAATGTAACGCCCGTAGATCCGGGCTAGTCAATTTAGAGACGATAGGCGTCAAAAATGACTTTTTGATGGAAGATTATCTAGAAGGATTAATCTTAACCAAGTTGTAGTATATGTCACAAGGTTTCCGTGCATATAAAGAACGCCAAAATCCGAGTTATAACGAAGAAGTTATGACCCGTCGAAGTTTCGCGACAGAACCAGCACGACGCAATGCAACGTAAAAAGTGAATTTACGTTAGAGCGGTATTTAGCCGAAGCAATCTAAATGAGAATCTAAGATCTCATTGTTGGTATCGAATCGATAAAAAGTTAGGCGAGAACGGACGTCAAACGAAGAAGTTATGAATTTTTAACGAAAGTTTCTGTCCCGGCCTATTAAAAATAAATAATAAAAATAAAATTCAAAATTAGCCGACAGAGTCTAAACGAAAGTTATAGATCGTAGTCTCACCTTCGCGTGGATATAAAGAACATCGAAAACGGAGCTCGTATGCAAAAGTTACGCAAGTTTGAAGTTTGCTTAATAGCGTACGCCCCGCGTAATTTAGGGTACGCCCAGCGTACCCGTGAACCGCCTCAGCTACGCATGCAATGACGTCACTTGAACACATACGCATGCAATGACGTTGAGTACGCCCTGCGTAACCTGAGTACGCCCCGCGTAATTTGAGTACGCCCCGCGTAATCCCAGACCCAACAGCCTATAAATAGAACTCAAATTCAGCCATTTTTTCTTGTTCAAACTCTTCCCTCTCTCTAAGTTTTGCCTCGATTTGCGTGCCAATCATACCCCGAAGCCCCGGTAATATTCCCGAGTCCCGAAGCAAGTCCCGATATCCCGAAGATCCCGAGAAGTGCGGTTTCCGAGCCGAAGCTCTGCCCGCGAGAAGTTCGATTTTCGTAGAGATCTTCCAGATCTGCTGAGGATTACTACTTTTGCAAGTCGTAGTGCTGTCCGATCATCTTCTGATCAAGTGAGTGTATACTACCTTTCATAAACACAATAATAATACAAGTATGGTTTGAGTGTATTTGGTATATTGTCGTTTATATGTGTGAGTGTGTGGTTACTTTCTTTTAACACATAAATATGAAGTATTTGGTATAAAATACGTGCTATGTGTTTATATATTGTTGCTTATTTGAGATGAGTATGGAATGAATGTTTTATATAGTTTTTAAATGAGTTAAACTGTATGTGTATTCTATATCTACAAATATGTTGGGTAGAACATGGGTAGATGAGATAGTTGGTATGTTGGTATGTGATAAAGTGATGAGGTATGAAAGATGATTAAGAATGATATTGGTAGATGCACCTATTAAAGAATGTCATAAAATTAGCAGATGTGCTGGAGAATAATGTCGGCAGATGCGCCAAATAGAGATTGTCATAATAATAGCAGATGCGCTTATAGAGTAATCCTGGCAGATGCGCTTATAGGATAATGTCGGCAGATGCGCCAAATAGAGATTGTCATAATAATAGCAGATGCGCTTATAGGGTAATCTTGGCAGATGCGCTTATAAGATAATGTCGACAAATGCACATAAAAGAAAATGTCATAAACCTGGCAGTCGCGCCTCATAATGTATGACGTAATCCTGGCAGAGGCGCTTAAAGGATGATGTTGGTAGATGCGCCTTATGTAGCAATAGATTTTTGTGCTAATTCCTTTGGTCAATCCTAGGAATGAATGAATGACGGGTAGTTGAATTCTTAGGGTAAAATCCTAAGAAATAAAGGAGATAATGGGGATGGGTAATTGGGTTGATTGTTTGATGGTTGATTATAATAATTATATTATTGTGGGTTGAAAACCCTATATGCTCACCAGGCTCCCAAGCCTGACCCACTCAGTTTTCTTTGCATTACAGGTAATGACTCAAGAGTATAAGTTGGTGGACTTGACGAGAGGTTTTGGATTATAGATCAGTAGTTGAATAACTATTGTAAGGTCTATTTATATTGTTTATGCTTTTGGTCTATATCGGAACATGACATCCCGAGGTTTTATTATTTAATGGAAATACATTCTCTTTGAGAAATGTTTTGATAAATGGTTATTATATTTTATTTTGGAAACAAATTCCGCAACCGTTTTCTTTAAACGATCACTCTGATTTATAAAACAAAGCATAAACAAATCGGTCTTTTCTGGCCGTGAAATTGGGGATGTCACAGTTGGTATCAGAGCATTAGTTTAAGCGAACTAGGAATTTGTAGGATTTCTAGACTTAAACTTAGAGTGCTAAGTAATGGTTGTGAGGAGTGTGTCTAAAATATTTTAGGTAGTACACCTTAAATTGACACAAGCACTAGTTTATTTTAGCAATGATGCCTAAAATGCTCTTATGTGCAAAATGTTTTGTGTGATAGCTATATTGATGCTATTATTTGTTT